AGTCTTCGCTTCCCTGACCCCTCTTCCCTCCTCTGCCCTCTGCAGCTCGATGCTGACGTCCTTTGGATTGCAGACTCGGGGGCCACTGCTCATATGACACCCCATCGCCATTGGCTGCGAAATTACAGCCAAAAACGCCTCCCTATCAAGCTGGCAGACAATAAATTGATCTACTCAGCTGGGGTTGGGTCTGTAGTGTTTGAGCCTGTGGTGGGAGGTAGAAAGCGTCGCCCTGTGGAATTTAGCAATGTCCTGCATGTGCCAGACCTTCGAAATAATCTAATATCTGTCTTATTGTTGCAATAAATGCGACCAGACAGGGGATTGAACCCTGGACCTCCCAGGTTTCGACCGGGTGCTCTAACCACTGAGCTATTTGGTCAAGGTATCTAGGCTTACTTGGTGTGGTTTAACCACCAAGTGCTAGTAGGGACTAGCATTGCTGAGTGCTGGAGTACTACACCTGCAACAGCCTCCCCTAATCCAGTGCACAGCAACAAGGCGCAAGCGTGGGAAATCACTGCCTAAAGTGGCAACTGCCTTAAGTGGTAGGTCTTACACATGCTGCCTCCTGCAAAGGTCTTAGATGGCTCAGGGGCCATTCTGCCTTAATTGGTAGGGCTTACACATTGTTGCCTCCGGTAAAGGTCTTACTGAGGCACAAGTAGGTCTTAATGGGGAAATCCCAGCTGTGGGAATCCATTGCCTTAAGCAGAAAGGACTTATCAGGACATTCCCACAAGCGCCCGGGGCTCATAACCTGATAAATTTACCCAGCCTTAAGGCCTTGTGCCCAGTGTCAGAGGCTAAATTCAACAGCTAAGTAGTGACATTACCTTGTGCCCAGTGTCAGAGACTGAAGAGAAAATACACTGGGCACATACAACTGCTAAGTGCGCAAAAATGGTAAACAAGGGAAAACAAACAGTCACAACATATCACAACACTGTATAGTGTAGGAATGCGAAGTTAGACCATATTAGTGTAGCATATAACAGTAGAATAAATGAACATGCGAACAGAGGTGCAGAGGCACCACTGTAACAGATAGAGCCTCTGGAGCCTCCAGCAGCTGATCCAGTGCCTATCCAGCCTCTCCCTGCTCACCCAGCTCAAGATGCGCCACCTCCTCACACTCCATTGCCTGCACCACCCCCAAGAGCACCTAGTCCTGTTGGCATAGGTGCCAGACTGCCCAGAAGGCGAAGACAGACGCCCAGAGAGTGGTGGAAGCTCTCCCCAGCTCAATTGGAGGACTCTGGTGATGAAGAAGACTCTGATGATGAGTTGGCCATGTCTGCAGCCCTGCCAGATGAACCTCTTACATTTGCAGAAGCCATGAGTCGTCCTGATGCGGAAAAATGGCACAAAGCAGCCCTGGAGGAGTTGGCAGCTCACCAGACAAATGGGACTTGGAAACTCGTTCCTAGACCCCCTGGATGCAAAGTCATTGGCTCCAAGTGGGTATTTAAGGTCAAGAGGAATGCTGATGGCTCCATAGATCGCTACAAGGCCAGACTGGTCGCAAAAGGCTATAATCAGCGCCCTGGCTTTGATTATCTCGAGGTCTTTGCTCCTACAGTGCGCCTTGCCTCTGTCAGAGTGGTTCTAGCTCTTGCAGCTCTCCAGGACCTCCATCTGCGCTCTGTGGACATCTCCCATGCCTACCTGAATGGGGAAATGGACTGTGAAGTCTATATGGCACAACCTGAAGGATTTGTGGAAGGAAACTCGAAATCTCATGTCTGCCTGCTCCAGAAAGCCATCTATGGCAGCAAACAAGGTGGCAATCGCTGGAACAAGAAAATGCGCTCTGTATTGGAGTCCCTGCACTTCAAACAAACCTATTCTGATGCCAGCATCTATATCTGCTCCAAGGATGGTGTCTCCTGTTGCAGGTGTAGTACTCCAGCACTCAGCAATGCTAGTCCCCACTAGCACTTGGTGGTTAAACCACACCAAGTAAGCCTAGATACCTTGACCAAATAGCTCAGTGGTTAGAGCAACCGGTCGAAACCTGGGAGGTCCAGGGTTCAATCCCCTGTCTGGTCGCATTTATTGCAACATCTCCATCATCTTGCCTGTTTTTGTGGATGATATGACTCTTGCTTCGTCTTCTGAAGCTGCCATAGACTCCTTCATCTGCCAACTCAGCCAGCACTTCAAACTGCGAGATCTAGGACCTACTACCCAACTCCTGGGCATCAAAATTGACAGAGATCGCCCCAATCGCTCCATTTCGCTCTCCCAGCGCCAGTACTGCCTGGATTTACTGGAAAGATTTGGCATGGCTGACTGCAAACCACTATCTACACCCATGGAGCCAAATCTTCGCCTCTCTCGCTCCCAGTCTCCCCAGGATGCCTCAGAAATCGAGAAAATGCGCCAAGTACCCTATCTCTCCGCTGTAGGTGCTCTGATGTACCTTGCCACCACTACCCGCCCAGACATTGCCTATACTGTTGGAGTTCTGGCCAGATTCAACTCCAATCCTGGCTGGGTTCATTGGCAGGCTGTGAAGCACCTAATGCGCTATATCAAGGGTACTCTGGACTATTCCCTGACCTATTCTCCTGATCCTTCAACCTCTGAGCCCTTCACCACCTTCTCTGATGCAGATCATGGTGGCTGCAGGGATACTGGTCGCTCTACAGGTGGTTATGTTGTCAAGATGGGTACTGGAGCAATCTCCTGGTGTTCCAAGCTTCAAAACATCGTCGCTCTATCTACCACTGAGGCAGAATACATAGCAGCTGTCCAGGCAGGCAAGGAGATCAAGTGGCTTCGAAATTTACTCTCTGAAATCGCTTCTCCACTGTCTTCTCCCTCTGTGCTGCACATGGACAACCAATCTGCAATCTCTGTGGCCAAGAATCCTGAACACCATGGCAGAATGAAGCAACTTGATCTCTGCTTCTACTGGCTTAGAGATGCAGTCCAGGACAACCTCATTGCTCCCACTTTTGTCCCCACTGATGCCCAGGCTGCTGACCTGATGACCAAACCACTGTCCAAGGCCAAGGTGATCAACTTCTGTCAGATGCTAGGACTAGGTGCATCAAGTGGGAGTTCTTAATGTGCAGAGGTGCACAATCAGGGGGGAGTGTTGCTATTAGTGCCTGTGCACCTCAGACTAATTGCCAGGTTCCCCACTTTCCATATTAATGATGTGTGCACTTATTTTCTTCAGTTGTTCTTTGTTTGTTCAGTGTTCGCATTTTTACTGTGCACAGAGTATCTTGTTCTTTAGTTACTGACTCTGTGCACATAGAGTGCTGAGTATTGGGATATCTTAACAGGATTCACTGAGGTGGATCCTATGTGTTATTCCATGGCTGCTAACAAATGGGGAAGAAGAACCTTCTGTTGGAGATCTGCCTATCAACTTACAATATTGTCTGTGTTCCTCTCCCTCTCCCTTCCATTCCTCATCTCACTATGTGCCAGCCACCCTCACTCGATAATGGGCAAAGCATAAGTGCCATCAACCTAAGTGCATGATTTTCTAACCACTGTCTGATAGCTAACATTCAAGGGTTATGCAGGCACTTTAATCACAATTGTTTTGCATCTCAAACTGAGCGCAGTTGATGCTGCAACCCTTGCTGACATCTTACTTTCAAGATCCCAGCATGAAGGTGGGCAATTTTCCAAGACTTTTTTTCCTTGACAGTAATCATCTCCCATAGCACCATCATTTCCGTTGAGTTTGGCTCCCTCAACGTCATCATCCTGTCAGGCGGGTACCACTGCAGTCCCTTTCCTCCCCTTTTCCCCCATCAGCATGGAGGTCCCCACTCCCCCTGTATCAATACATCTAACATCTGCCAACACCCCTGACTCCACCACTGTTCTCATCTGTGGACATCTGGATGTGGAACCAAGGGATCCATCCCTGGCAGATGAGTGTTGGCATACTTCGACCAGAGTATTTTTCACAGTGACCCTGTAAACATATCTGCTTTTTATATTATATTTTTATTTTGGCTCAAGTGTAACCAATAACCTGACTACTAACAGATTTTCCACCTGGTGCAGGTAAGTGGAGATATTGCAAATACAAAGGTTTCAAGATCAGGATCTTTTTATCATGTATGTGTTATTACTGACCTGCATCTGTTCTTGCCTCAACCATTTGGTGCAGTTGTCCACAAGAGTTGAGGGCTTGGCGCCCTTGGGGGTTTGGAGCCTTTGAAGGTTCTTGTTGATTGCATCTACAAGACCCTTGGGAACAGAGTCATGGCATCATTCGAGCCTTTCCATTCACTGTCATCGCACACATATCATATTACCTAAGTGGTATGTATTCCCTCTGTCTTGGTTATTGCATCTTACTGTTCTCTTGCTGTTCCAGCATTTATCAATGTTTCGTTGTCAATTGCATGCATAAAACCCACACGAACAGAGCTCATCTTCCAAGGCTCTCCATTTACCACCATTGCACATTATCCCATTACCAAGTGGTACATATTCCCTCCATTTTGGGCATTCAGGGCTTCGAGTCTCTGCTTATTAGCAATGTATTTCCTCTGTTTTCGTTATTACATGTTCCATTCAGCTCCTTCCCCTGTCTCAGCATTCACCACAGTTCATTCTTAGGGGTTTTGGCCCTTCAAGGGTTTGTTGTGCAGGTTTGTTTTTGATCACATGCATGAGGCCCACACAAACAGAGTCCAAATTGTTCAAGTCTCTGCTCACTACTGTTGCATGCATGTGTTATTATGAAGTGGTACATACTCTCTGTATTGGTTGTTGCATATTCCTTATGGTTTGTTCCACCTGGTATTTATCACGATATGGCATGACACTGAACTTCTTTTCTGATATTTTCCTTTTGTTCCACTTGCTACTCATGTAATAACTGCAAGTGTCATTATTCCATTGCAACAAGCCGCCATTTTACCAAATAACTCCATGGGTTTTTTTATGTCAGGTAAGGCATGGCTTTACTTAAATACCTCATCTGACCACTTTTCCCCTCCTCCTCCATCATTAGCAACATGCCTTGTGTGCCAAAAAGTGTTGACCAAGTCGCGAACAACTCTACAGATTTGCACACCCAGGTTCTTTGAAACTGCAAAATCCCCACCACCAGGATGGCCCCTCCACCAGAGGTAAGTTATCTTGTCACTGTTGATCCCATCTGACCCCCTGCTTTCACAGATCAAAAAGACAAGCCCAGGCCCTGGCACGCAGTGCAACTGCCTGAAGGATGGGAAGAACATATGTTTGGTCTCCATGATAGGAGGAGATCACTCACACCTAGTGTCTCTGTGTCCTCCCAAAATTCTACTGCCCTGATCTTGCAGGAAGACCAGGTCGAGGGCACTCCGATGGACAAGGATGCTGGTGAGGCTGAGGCTGAGGCTGAGGAGGTTGAGGTCAACATTCCAGCTGACAAGGGCAGTCAACACCCTGATGATGGGGCTAGTTGACTTCTGGATGATGAAGGTTTTTTTTTTTTTGAATATTTTGTTCACATTAGGTGCCTGTGCACCTCATTTCGCATTTTCTATTGTGATGTGTTCTCTTCTCAGTCTACAGACTTATAGTGGACACTTAGCTTCGCTCTAAGTGTCCTTGGTTTGCTTTTATTTATTATTTACATTTGTTTATCATTTTTGTGCACTTACTGCTCTGTGCCCAGTGATATTTTCTTCAGTCTCTTACACTGGGCACAAGGTATCTTTCCTGTAGTATTTACTTCAATATTAGTCTCTTACACTGGGCACAAGTGGCCTGAAGTTGTGGTTATCTGAACATATTTTTCTTGTTCTCTCACAGTTCTGTAGATGTTGTGTTGTTATATCCTTAACTTCAGGGTTTGGTGCCCCCCTTCTCTCATATGACTGTGGGTTCGGTGCCCAATGGTCTAAAGCTAGGCGCTTGGGGTCCTCATGAGAGTCACCAAGTATCCTGTGTCATTTTCACTTTTTTTCTAGACACTTTGTTATCATTTGATGTGTTTCATGTCACACTGCAATCCATTCTCTTCCGATATTGACGTGTTCATAGTAGATGATGACAGTTCTGAATCTTCACTTCCTCCATCTTCGCCACCAGCTGAAGACTCCAGTTCCGACACTGAGGATGAGTTTCCCCCATGTCATCCTGGTCGCCATGTGGAACACAAACCTAAAAGCAAGGGCAAAAGTAGGGCTATGGATGTTGACAACAGTGATATAGCAAGTCAGGATGATCGTGAACACACCCAGAATGTGAAATTTAAGAAGACTGGGAACTTGTCCCATGCTGCTCTCAATGAGATACATGACTTCATGACTGAAGTCAAGGCAAAAGCAGAAGAACTTGGATGTCGACACAGCAAGTCTCCTCATGACATCCTTGTTGCTGCTGGGCTCAGTGTCAAACCATCTCACACAAAGCTCAATGAGGCCAATCTCTTCCACTTGTGGTATTGGGCCACCCAACTGAAACCTGATGGTGGTATGCATGCCCTTGTCACAGAATTTCTTTTATAACATTCTTCCCAGCCGACAGAAACACAGTCAACAATATCATTATGGCAGAGTACAACCAGCTCATGAAAGATATCCCCAAAGATGACACTGCAGCAAGAAAGGAGAAGTTGAAGGCTGTTTATGAGTGGAGTGAGAGCTCCTCAGCAGTGCCTGCTAACAAATCAGTCAAGTCCATTGCAGTCAGAGTCCACAATGCGAAGATGCAGTTCTCTGGATTGGTGAGGGGTTGCAAGTGGGTGGGTGGGTGGCAGATCTTACCATTGAGCAGGCTGAAGCATGGTTGACTCTTGAAGATATCGAAATTGCTGGAGTTGTGATGTATGTTGGACAAGACCCTGCAGGACACCAGACCTCTGGCATATTTGGTGGTTCCGATATCATATGAAAGTACATCAATGAGCATGCCATTGATGTTCAGGGACTTATGGACAAGTACACCACAATATTTAAGAAAGTGATGTTACACATATCTTACTCAGACTCATTGCAATTAGGTGTCTCAGGGATGGTAATGGTACTGAGGCTGGATTATTAGGGATGAGTGCTTCTGCCAGTTCAGCTGCAGCATTGGAGTTGTGTTGTCAAATGAAGGAGATACCAAGAGATTGCAACTGCCAGGTATTTGGATCTATGATGAAGGAGAAGTTGATAATGGCACTCAAAGATGTTCGCAGTAGGTATTTCTGGTATTCTGTATATTCTCTTCTAATTGTCTTTCCATAAGTGATGTGCAGGGTCAAAGTTGGTGATCCCCAGAAAATCATTTGGCAGCAGCTTCTTGAGTTTGTTAGGAGGAACTCTCTCATCATAATCAACTGGCCACTTGCCAGGCCCTGGTTTTGAGTACAAGAAACTCAAAGCTGATGCTCTCCACCAACTTGTGGTACCTTATCTGTGGAGAAAACTAGGCTCAATGTACGACAGACAATCTGATGACAATGACGATGAGAAAAATGATCATCTGGATGGTGTGCCAGAGGTCAAAATCAAACCCTGGAATGAAGGTATTGCATACTCTTTTTGTCTGACTGATCACTGACTGTTTTTGCAGATGTCATGGGCATAAGGGATGCACACCCATTAAAGGGAGAGATCACACTGGTCAAGGCTCCTGATGGCACAGTTTTGGCAAGGTGTCTGATGATCCTGAGTGGCAGAAGTCTTGTGAAGAAGAGGATCCAGGTATGGTGGCACTGTTAAAATATCCCAATACTCAGCACTATGTGCACAGAGTCAGTAACTAAAGAACAAGAGACTCTGTGCACAGTAAAAATGCGAACAGTGAACAAACAAAGAACAACTGAGAGAAATAAGTGAACACATCACTAATATGGAAGGTGAGGAACCTGGGAAATAAGTATGAGGTGCACAGGCACTAACAACAACAGGCACCTCATGCACAGAGTGGAATCCCATTTCCATTGTGCAAGTGGGCTCATGTGGAGGTGACAGATAACAATACAGTTCCTCGTGAGGTGAGTCAATCCACTCAACCTCTGGTGTCCACTAATGTTCCCCAAGGCTTCACACTCTGACTGCCAAATGCCCCTGCATGACAAAGGCAGGGATGCATGCTCCATTGCTGGTGACCACAATGTAGTGATTTATCCCACTGCATTTTGGTCAAAACTAACAGGCGACATGCACAGGATGCACTTCATGACCCACCAGCATGCACAAGCCATGAGAACACTCGAGAGCCTGGTCAATCTGAGTGCCCCTTGCTGGCTCAGCACTATGGGGTGAGGTCCAGACATATCAGTTGATTAAAAAGACTAATGGAGGACTGCACAGGATCTGCATTGTGATGCTGCCCCAAGCCACTCGCACCCATGGGACCCTGGCCCTTCTCAACAGTTTCCACCATCTTGGCATTATGAGGTGAGTATCCCAGGCATTCTGCTTCCTGAAGGAGACCAATAGGATGTCCTGCAGGACCCTTGTTATGACCATGCCAATTATAATGATCCTGGCCCCTCCAATGTTCCCTACAATGTTCGTGGCTTGATCCTTCATTGTCACATTTTGTTTAGCTTTTCTATAGGTATTACCACCTGCCCACCACAGTTCGGGGTGTTTCCCTCTGTCCCATCAGACATATCACATACCATCTTGCCCTGACCATCATGTTTACCATGATGCTCCATATATCTCTGACTACTACCCCCCAGCCCAGCCCAGCCCACAGCACAGCAATGGGTTGACAGAGGTAGTGCTGTGCAGTATGATGACAAATTTCCTGAGGATTACTTAGACTATTAGTCTCTTCAGTATTTTCTTTTGCAATATATGTTTATTTTTCTGGGATAGGGTGAGCAGTGAGTGAATCAAATCTCAGTTCTCTGTCATTTTGAATGCAAGAGCATTTGTGTCTACTTGACTGTTATTTTGTTACCCCCTGTGGCCACACTGCCATAGCATTGCTCACTTGATCTACCAATGAATTTTCTACTGATTGACATTCTACAGGGAAGATGCATACACTCAAAATACTGTACTCTTGTTTGAAGAGTTTGAGGTGCAGAGAGTTGGGTCAGAGAACATTTGAGGTGAGGCTTGGAGGTCACACCTACAGATAAAGGAGCCTCCAGCAATGAGGAGGGGATATGGTGACATTAAGCAAGTGTTGATGTGGTGATCATTGACTGACAACTCTCCTAGTGTCAACTGTGTCCAATGGCCAGGGGCTCTGGTGAGTTCTGTTGCCTGTTTGCCTGTGTACCTTATCTATATTTTATTACTGTGATCAATTGTTTTTCCCTGGTGAGTTGAGGGAACTGAGTGGAATTCAAATGGAATTGACATGATTATCTTGAAAGATTGAAATGTTTGTCACTCAGCAGCAGCACTTCTGAAGCAATGGCCAGCAGTTAGGAGATATCATTTACTCAGATGATGTATGTCAGGCTGTCCAACTCATCCCCAAGTTCAGTGCACAGGCACCACCTGGGTTAACCTGTGACAACTGCCTGGAGGTTGGATGAGAGTTCTGTGTCAATAGCTTCACAGATAAAGAGGTTTTCCATGCCATTCTTAGTTACCAGTAGTTGCTGCACATGATTACCAATGGTGTTCTGTTTAATCTTACAATGCACTTGAGTCATATCCTTGCAAACTGTCAAGTCTGGGCCTACTCCAACCAACTCCAATGCTAGACAAGGTCCAGAGGAGGGTTTGGAAGCAAGTCTGACACAAAGGAACAGAACTCTGACTGGCAGAGTGGTGGCAGGAACAAAGTCTGCTGGGACAAAGGCGGAGCAAAGTGAGGGCATCAGGTTTAGCTCATGTGCTACCCCCTTGCACGATCTCAGCCCTTGTATTTCAGAGGGAGAGTTCAGACAGAGAGTTGGAGGTAACTCTGACAGACAGAAGATGGAGACAGAAGGAGTAGGAACTAAGTTGATATTCATACTAAGGAATGGCAGAGTATGATACATGCTTTTATACTACTATGGAGGTACAGTAACTGGAATTGGAACTGACATATGGAGACTCATAAATTTTCAAGTAAAACTTCCTAGACAACAAGTGAAGGGTGGATGGAGGACATATGAACAGGTAACATAGAACATCCAGAAAAGGAAACAGTCCAGGCACTGGACCATGCAGTGCATGCACTGCAGAGTACCTGACTGTGCACTGTCAGGGAGAAGTCTGAAGGTAGTCACATGACCCCTTAGAGAATGGTCCAGTAGGAGAGCAACACAAGTCCGACAGCAGGCAGAGCAGTGTAGGGAATGCAATTTCACTATCAGGGGAATTATTTTATTTTGCTTATTTTACTTGGTTTTCATTCTAGATACTTTTTTCTATGAGTTTCACTTGGATTTCGCATTTTTGGTTGCTTAGTCAGCAGTAGTGCTACTTGTGTACAGTTTTTCCTTACAAAAAAATAGAGACGAGCTACCACAGACGAGAGACGAAATCGAGCAGGTCATTTCCCTGCACCCAGACAGCCCAGAAGTCCTTAGACTGTCATATCAATCCAGTCCCAGGCTATAGGAGCCCCTTTGGTCCTACTTGTTCCCTCAGACCCACTCCCATCATTCTCAGCACCCTCTCCTCTCAGTATTATCTCACTTCCTACAACTGGAGCCCACCGCGAGGGGCTTCTGTCTTAGCCTGGCACCCCTCCCCAACCCTCTCAGATTTTATTTTGCAGTCTCCAGCTTCGTTTTCGCAATTTTTAGGCTCAGTTTAGCAGATTTCACCTTTTGGTCTCATTCTTGCAGTCATTTCGCTCACATTTTCGTGTTCTCCCACTCGCACACACTCACATATCAAGTACTCGCACTCGTATTACCTACAAACTTCATGCTCAGCCTCAAAATTTCATGTCGAGGCTTTCCTGAAGCTCCGAGCTTCTCTGGGCGCCCCGAGGACCTTCGAAGTTACTTTGATGACATAATCGATTTCTGTGATGGATTCGGCCTCACAGCGAGTTTTCCACTATATAGTACCCTGTTATATGTAATACAATATGTCAATCTCACACTTAGAGTTTGTGATGGCATACTGAAAAAATCCATACTTGAAGTTTAGATCCTTTTCTACACGTTTGCTCAGGTTTGAAGTCAGAGTGAACATCTAATCATTGTGTAAACAATAAGTATGGTTGAATAGCAGATGTTGTCCAAGATAGGAAGTTATGTCAACACGTGCAGTGCAGGGTGAAACTTTAAGTTTTGTCCTAATTTGCATAACTGACAATACACGAAGTACTGCCAAAATTCCAGTAACAAATTTTACTTCAAGTCTAGAATTAGTGTTCCTACACATGCCTACACTTGAAGTTTTGCCACGGCCCATACTAATCACCTGACAGTCACCTGTTTGTCGCCCAATGATCGCCCTGTGGTCGCACAATGATCACCTAGTGTGATCATCCATTTTCACGTAGATGTTCTTAGTATCTATACGTACGTACACACACTACATTGGGTATCTAGTATCAGGCAATGGCTATCTCCATCCACAGAAACGGTTCCTCTGATACTTTCAGGCAGTCCCGTTCACAGTGAGTAAGCCCAGCAAGCCAAATGGAATCATAGATAGACTGTGGTAAGCCTGGGACTGGAGTGCGCAGACTTTGGGGGTTTCCAGGTGCATGAAACCTCTGGATAGGCTTTGATCCTTGGGGTGCAAAAACATCATTGTCGACAAGTCTCTGGAGGTCAATAATATCAAGTTCCCATTCGATACTGTGTCGCCATGCCATATTCTTAACTCAGAGGATAGTCATGATGTTGTTGTCAATGTCGCTGTCCTCAGAACTCATCCCATGCTCACCCAGTGTGTGGATCAGCTGCAGGAGCCATTGCCAAGCACGGAGATCACCTTCGCCATTCGTGGAGTCTTTCTTGAGAGCAACCATATGTTCGAGAACAGCACATCGACACTGATATTTCTAAAACAGGTTGAGTTACTGGTATGAAACAGCAAAATTAATGCCCTACATTTTGTCGTCGTGTGGTCTGTCTGCCCTCTTTGAGTACCCAGGTTCATTCCACTACCAAGTGTTCTTCAATCTCAGCAGAAGTTTCTACTGTGCCCTTTGTTGTAATATGTGGCTGAGCTTTCCGCCATGTCGTGTGTAGACGTCTGTAGCATTCACATAGGATTTCCAACACGTAATCATTGGACTTCATTACAGGCCAGTGTTCTTCATTGCCTCATCTCTGAAATTCGTCAAGAAGGTGGTCGATGATGAAAGAATTCCATGGCGAGGAATAGCCCTGCGTGAGATCAAAAGTTGGTGAGTCCATGTCGGGTGGTGGACTGTCTTCGTGTTCGTATGCATGGACATCATCGGGGGGGGGGCCGTTTCGTTCAAAATAAATTCATGGTCCTGACTTATTTTGAGTTTTTCCTTGAAGAAGCGACAGACTTCACTCTATCACAGCTGGTTTAGCACATGAACAGAATTAGCAATGTCACTTACCAGTATAAGATCATGATGTCCTCATGGCTCTGTAGCCTTCTCTATCTCCACTTCTTTATCCACCTCCTTTTGTTTTTGAGGTGACCGCTGTGACCGCCCTGTTCATGGCATAGCGATAGCACCATCACCAAGTACTTTCCAAAGCACAGCTTCAACCCCCTTGGCAATCGCCTCCGCCATTGATACAGAATCACTGTTGTTTGCTTGTGATACCTCAGGTTCTGAAGCAGTAGATCGGAACTCTTCATTGTCAATAGGCTATTGATCGTGAGATATTCATATCAAGTCATATATTTCCTTACTTACCTCGTGAGACATGCTGATGAGGTGGGTTCTTCGTGAAGCTGCTCGGGTTCATTTGATCTTCTTGATAGTGTCCAAATATGGAGTTCGTGCATGCTGGGGCAGTGGTGCAGTGGACGCTTGTTGTGGTGTTTGTGGCTGGTTGTCCTGGCAGGTAGGAGACTCGGATTCAGCTGGAAAGTGCGCTGGTTCAGCTTGAGATGCTGTTTGAATTGTCTGAGGGCAGTCAGCATTGCCCGACAAACTACATAGTTTGTTCACTTACATGTCTATGTCGCATATTGTGTTGAACCATTGCTGCTGATTCCCTCTCTTTCTCTGCTTGGCAGTGCATCACCACATCATTGCCAACCTTCTTCAGTTCTGATCGCAAGTGCTCTTCCATAGCAGCAGTATGTTGCACTATCTTGATTTCCCATAGTCGATCATGTTCCTTCAGTGTGATGTAAACTGTCAGGAGTGTATAGTGATCCACAATGACTCACCTGCAGTTCATTTCGGAACCTCAAAAACTCCTCCTTTTGAGCTGCCAGTAAGGTATCACACTGACGGTGTTGTTCCTTCATTCATTGAGCAATGGCCTGACAGAGCACTGAGGATGGCATACCTGAATTTCATCTCTGAGCACGGTAAATGCCTGGTCATGAGATTTAAGAAGAGTTTCCCGCTGTCTGTGGTTTTCCTTTCGAACACATGAGTGTGATACTAAGTAAAGCTATGCACTTCTCACCTGAACCTCTTCTTGGAGGTTTCGCAAAACACTGCACTCTTGGTGATGCTCCTTGGTTCACATGAATACAGTCCAAGACAGTGATATGTGATGGCTGACCTGAATTTCATGCCGGAGCCTGCAGAGCTCTTGTTCTTGAGTAGCAAGCAAAGTACGCATATCAGATAGAACTTTCTTCTGCAAATCAAACTCATTCTTTGTGGTGAGAAGGCTGTTGTCATAACCGTGCGTTTGTCATAGGTCTTTGCTCACTCCGCAACCTTTTCCACCAGTCATCCGCTCGCTCCG